CCAAGCAAATGGCATTCGGTAATTGCCTAACCTAAAAAAAACCAAAGTTATAACATATTTTTTACTCTAATAGATAAAGATTCATCATGCTTTTTTATGCTTATGATTTACCTATGACAAATATTTTTAACAGCTTTAAATACTTTCAGACCATTATCTTTATTATTTGTTGTTGCTTTAATATATGGTTCAGAAACACGTACTATGCCACCCTGAAGTACTTTGTCAATTCTTAACACTAAGTATATATCTGAATGTGGTTTTGATATACACATTATTGCCTAAAAATATAATAAAAACGCTTTTAATATAATATACATAACAGTGTGAATAAATAAGTGATAATTCATTGATAATTTTTATGATATATTTTCTTCCACTATTCATTCTAGTAAAATATTACAGCAATCCAAAAACAAATTTATTTTAATTATTTATGATGTCTATTTTTAAATATTTGAAACAATGCATATTATACATTTAATTTAGTATAGTTAAAATGCTTATTATCAAAAAATAAGTTAAATTAAAATTTTATCAAAATATATTGTAGTTATCTATAGAATCATTAATTTTTATTTGTCAATAAATCTCAAAATAGCAATTTGAGTAAAAATTGACAAAGCATAATATGATAAGTATATTACTTGTTTTTGTTTGAATAGCCAATTCTTTGTCACTTTACAATTTTTTGATAACTCAATTAACTTATGACCGTCAATTTGATTTTCATGATTAACTAGATTTTTCATACTGTCATGGTTAATATCAAAATGAAAATCTTCAGATATTTTTTTACCAGAACGTACATCAAACAATGCCATGGTTGTAAAATATGGTTCAACCTATAAAAAAGAAAAAACTAATGAATTAAAACATTTTTGCATTAAATTGTTTTACATAACATTAATWGAACCACTATAATGATTAACAAGGATTGTAATTGTATATAATAATTTAAATATTTACATAGGTAACAACTAGTTAACTATTATGATAAATAACACTATAGAAATTAAAAGTTTTTTTTTTAGGGTTATGGCTTAGACAACTGAGGTCATTAGCCTGGGGAACTGTAGGGGAAGGTACTATAGGKTTTAACACTTGGGTTTTTGGCAGAATTTTGAATGGGCACCWGTAGGTTTCTGCCATGCCCGGTTGGGAGGCGGCGGCCTCTCTCTCCAGACACTGCAAAATGCCCAAAGAGCGATGCCGTCCGTGACCGAGATTCAAACCGGCGACTGTGTACGTCGCAAACACGGTTATCTACTCAGGTTGGAGCTTGCGGATATGCTGCACGTGTAGCTGCCGTGTCGAAGTGGCGACCAGAGGTACTAACAGCGCTAGGTGTTACTKGCCCRACATTAACACGTCTCATATAGGATATTAAATGGTTTTTTGTTTCTATCTTCTAAATAACATAATTTAGCAATAATTAGTACATAACTAAATTTGTTGGCCACA